TAGAACACAGTCAGAAGATTAGTTTTAGCAAAGCCCAAATAAATTTACAACCATCAACAAGAAATACTCATCCAACCATTGCAACACATATTCTTCTAAATTTGGGCTCAGATTGGGCTAGGTGGAAATTTTCAACATATTGCTTGCTGCTTGCATGGGTTACATTGTGTGCAGAGTTTCTTGCTGTGTGAATGGCTATGGAGATGACATGAATTGATCATAGTACGGATATGGCTAAGGCGTGAATGGCATTCACTGACAATTGCATGCTAATGGTGGGAATTAATGTTAATTAAGACTGACTGGGCTGAAGATAACTGATATAAATACATAAACTATGATGGAAGATCCTTATTCACTAAATTTTTCGATAGATACAATATTCACTAAAATTTTCTTGTGACATATTCAGGCGAAAATAAAAATATTATCAACTTCAACATTAGAGAAATGACAGAACACACAATAAAAACACAACTAGTTTAGTTTCTAACATTGTGACGGCAAAGAGGACAAGTGTTGCGATTAGTCAACCAATTCGAGATACAGTCTTTATGGTAATAATGCCGACAAGGAAGCTCAGTGAGTCTCTGAGTAGCAGCGAGCTCCTCTCTACATATGGCACAAACCACCAAACCTCTCTCCATCAGTTCCTCAGCCGTCAGTTCCACCACCGGAAGCTCATCCACCGCTTCCTTCCGCCGCGTGGAAGATGAATTACCCAACACTCGACCAAAGATTTCATCGTAAGTCCCAAACGTCTCGACTTCATGGTTGCTCCGTGAAGCCAAGTAATGGAGGTAGTTGAGATACTCTTCGTCGATGAAAGTAGCGTCCTCTTCTAAATCATCGGCCGGAATATGATCGGTTTCGTTTTCGGTTTCGGAAGGAAGATGAAACTCCGCCATTGATTATTTTTATGGGATTTCCGGAAGTTTCGATGTGTGAAGTGAATATAGTACGAGAGTGTGAAGATGATTGGGTTTTTGAACGTTCCGCTGAGATTCTGACACGTTCATGTTGGGGTCCATGAAGACAAGAAGATCTCACAACACATGTCTAGCGACATTGTCCGATTTGTGGCCACGTCATATAATAACACCGACATATCCCCAAAAGTTTGTATGAAAAATGGATTAAAAACTGTTTAATCATTTCTATCTTTAATCTTCCAAATTCTTGTCTTATGCCTTTCTGTTGCATCTTCTTGCAAATCTTAAGAAGGATCTGCTTCATTAACAAAGTTAAACCCAAGCTTTCCGGTCGAGATAAACTGATTTTCCCTTCTTATTCTAGTTCACTACCTTTTTTTTTGGACAACAACTGATTTTATAAAACTAGCTTCGGTTACACCTCACACAGGAGGAAGAGATCCAACTACAAAGAGCTGAATCTAAAATTACACTAAACACAACAAAGCTAAAGGAGAACAAGGATAACAACATGATAGATTCAGAATTACCACATAGGGTTGATTCTTCCTTTAAGATATATAGGAGGCAGAATTTCCTGAACACAACATCCAGTATCTAAATTCATTGCCTGAAGCAACACCACCAAGCACTATGACTGCAACAATCAAAATCCAATCCACGAGACTTTGACTTGCTGAACTTTGAACAGAGGCAGACTTGAATGAAGCTTTCTTTAAACCCACGACCACATGGTCGTAAAATGCTCGCAAGACTAGAGCCAAGGCCATCAATGCAGAGCTTAACAATACTCGCTCCATAAAGGAGGAGACAATTCTCGGTTTCAAAGCCAAGTACAAATTACTTCTCATAGAGAAGATCATTGAAAGTGTGACACTTTTCTTTTTCAAGAAGGAAAGTGAAGAACATCTCACAAAGGAGGAAAGAGTTACCATAATGTAGCGCTTCTTAGATAGAATCAGCTTCAATCTAGTTCACTACCAATACACTATTCTCAGTCGATATATTTCTGTATAACATAAAATTCATGTCTTCATGCCTATTGCCTATGGTCTATGGATGAGGCCTGAGGGTTATAACTTATAACTTATACACCTTCATACATCGGCCCTGAAAGAGCACTTATAACTTATACATCTTCAAATCTTAAAAGGTTTATATATATATATATATATATATATATATATTTTTTTTTTTTTAAAAGGATAACAAATGTTAAACGTTTACAAATTTGGGACCATTTATTAAAAAAATAAAATTATAGGACTTATTTTTAATATTAATTAACTCCAAAAAAAATTGGAGCCAAGATCAATGTTTTATAAGGCTTTGTCCAGCATTGACATGAATGAAGCCATCCACGTTCAACAGCGAGTTGCATCACAAAACCCTTAACCGAACCCTTAATGAAACCATCCACGTTCAACAGCTAGTTGCATCACCAAATTTTGCATAATATTGTTTTCATCAGATAATATTGTATCGTATGCTAAATATTGTATCATATGTATATGTAGTCAAAGAATTCATATATGATTTTAGTGTCAAAATATTTTCAAAAATTGAACCACTGATCCGAAACAATTCATCGAGTTTCGATAATCTATTATAGTAATAAAATTCATTATGATTTTTTAATTTACACGTAAGTAGATTCATAAGTACCTCTTTAATAATTTGCGTGGATGAGTGACTATAACACATTTTAATATTTTATACAAGAGCAAAGTGTGTAATATAGACCAGGCCATCAGACTCAAATACATGCACCAAAAATCCATTTAGGTGTAAAATAATATAATTGTCTGTTCTTTGACTACTACGGTATGACCTATGAGGGGAACAAATCTTTGGCCGTATTCACGTTGTGGCATGATAAAATTTCGAAATTTCAGTTACATATAATCAACTTTTGAATAAACTGGTATTTCAGTCTTATAAAACATGATTCTTTAATTTTGTTCAAAACTTAACTACTGTATAGTGTAAAATGAAACCTGTGAATACCTAGTATGAAATACACTCAATAAAAGTTGATCATCGACATAAATGAACAAGAGTATACGACTATATATACAACAATCATTAACCGCTTTATTTTACTTGTCTTTTTTAGCTTATGATGTTACATGTCGTTGCTGATTACATTCACTCAGATAAATGAGAGTTGGTTTCGTTTGCTCTTGGAATATTTAATAAAGAAAAACACAACCCTTTGAGAATCATTTTGTTCATAATACGTTTCAATAATGGAGCGCAAGATTTAAATTAATCCGAACGTGGAAACTCGTTGAAAGATGTATATTAAGATATGAGATGAATACATAATGCAAGTATAGACCTGAACCTTAAAAACTTTCTGAAATTATTAATATCTGGTTCTGAGACTCTGAGTTGCCTAACTGTCTATATGTATATGACTGGATATACACGATTAAATAACGGGAACGAGGAGGATGGCTCATATGACTAATCCGATCGAAATAATACTTTACAGTAGTTTAATACATACTGATTAAGATTTGACGCTTTGATTACCACTAAAAGCCAAAACTTGGTAATATTTAGTGATTACAATATACCACGAGTAGGAGTTAGTTCCTATCAGTCTTTCCTGTCCACATACTAAATTGAATAGCCGACAAAAAATGAAATAAAATAATGAATTGAGTTGTGTCACCCTTTTGATTACTTCTTTAACTGTTTCTACATGGACTACAACTAAACTTTCTGATATGAGTCGCGTGACTGATCATAAGAATGCTACATAATGAGATTATCGTACAGTGTGAATGTTTATTCTAGAGAGTTATTAGATTTAACACAGGTTTGTTTTTGAACATTTTTCGAAACAAAATTTTGGGAATCAAATTGTTGTGTGATTCTTCATCGTTCAAACGAGATACATGTCTTAAACCGGCATACATAGTAAGGAAAAGGAAACTTAACATATACTATATGTATACATGAAAAAAAAAAAAAACATATACTATATGTATACATGAAAAAAAAAAGACTCACAAAACTGCAAACATGTAAACGAGATTTTTTTGATAGACAGAGTTTGGCAACTCCACTGCCTTTACTTGTGCAAATCCGCCGAGTGACTCTCTATCACCTGTGACTTCTTCCCGTGACATAACCTTTAATTTGTAAGAATTTACATTTCATGGAATTCATTACTATATTTTTTTCTTTTTATATATGTATACATGGAGTATGTAGATTTCAATGAATAATAACTTCATGGAATCTTTTATATGTTTCTTTAAATACTGATAAAATATATTTGTTTCCATCATTTATTCATTTTTACATAGTAGCATATTGAAGCTTATTTTTTTTGTTTTGTCTTTCAAAATGTTGAAAACCAATTACATAACTTTTACCTCTTGAAGCTCAATGTAATAAAATTTCTTTCCATAGAGTATAATCGATCGATTCACTGATCCTAAACGCTGCGTCGATTCTCTCTAAAATCCAATCAGCACCACCTAAGGTCAAATAAGTCGCCATCGTAATACAGTGAATTCGATCATTTAATAATTTTACAATCCTGGCTAATCACGTTACCCAATATCCAATAGGCAATAGCAAACAAAAAAATCCATTTTCTAAAGGTTATAGTTTCGTCCAGATGTATCATTTCCAACGTCAGCGAGGCAAAATCGTGAGGCTATAATTTCATTCATATCTCCAATTTTTCTTCTCCTCAAAATTCTTCTTCTTTGGAGAAAAATCTCTCTAATCTCCTCACTCCCTTACAAATTTGCTGATTCTTCTTTGTATATCTGATTCTAGCGCCAGTTTTCTGGGCTAAACCATCTTCGATCAAAATCAACTGGGTTTCGATCAATTTTAGGGTTTTTGATTCCTACTTGTCTAATCAGTTGAAATCGAAGTTCGTCTCTGCTCACCGTTGAGAAATTTTTAGTCAAATTCTCTTCTAAGGTTCGTCGTTCTTCACGCGTTCAATGATTTGTATGACATTTGACTTTTTTATGATGGCTATAAGATCTTTCTCTAATCAAATTTTACAGCTTGCTATTTGAATCGGAATCGGAGAAGATGACGGTTGTAGATGTTACTCCGACTCCAACGAGGAGCAGCTCTTCTTCCGACGATGTTGCAGCACCGTTATTGCCGACAAGTCAAGGAGACAAAGATGCTTACGATGAATTCAACGGAGCTTCGTTCAGCGGCGCGGTTTTCAATCTCGCCACGACTATAATCGGAGCTGGGATCATGGCTTTGCCCGCAACGATGAAGATTCTTGGACTTGTGCTCGGAATCACGATGATCGTTGTCATGGCTTTTTTGACTGACGCGTCGATTGAGTTCTTGCTTAGGTTTAGTAAGATTAAGAGAAGCCGATCATACGGTGGCTTGATGGGTGACTCTTTTGGCTATCCTGGGAAGATTTTGCTTCAAGTCGCGATTCTAGTTAATAACATCGGCGTTTTGATCGTCTACATGATCATTATTGGTATCGTTAATCATCTCCTCTTACTCTTTTTTAGATTCTAATTATCTGCTTGCTAGTGTGTGTTGATGTATGTTGTCTTCTCTGGTTGAAAAGGTGATGTTTTGGCTGGAAAGTCAGAAGATGGAATCCACCATTATGGTGTTCTTGAAGGATGGTTTGGTCACCATTGGTGGAATGCAAGATTTGCTGTTCTTCTCATAACGACTCTTTGTGTGTTTGCTCCATTGGCTTGCTTCAAGCGAATTGGTTAGTGTTTAGGTTCTCTCTAGCATTAAATTTGGTTGTACAATGCTTTTGATTGCTTCTGATACATGGTTATGGTTTTCTTTGCAGATTCTTTGAGATATACATCTGCTTTATCAGTGGCTCTGGCGGTCATCTTTCTCGTCATCACTGCAGGAATTTCCATCATGAAGTTGATCAGTGGCGGCGTGGCGATGCCAAGATTGCTACCGGATTTTAGTGACTTGACCTCCTTCGGGAATCTCTTCACAGTTGTCCCCGTTCTTGTCACCGCATTCATTTGCCATTACAATGGTATGTGCCTGCTCCGTTCTTAATAGGAAGCTTTGAAGAACGAACCAAAAGAGACTCATGTTCTTGGTTTTGCTTGTGATTCTTTTTTCAGTTCACAGCATACAGAACGAGCTTGACGACCCTGAGCAGATAAGGCCTGTTGTTCGATCAGCCCTTATGCTCTGCTCATCTGTTTACATAATGACGAGCATCTTCGGGTTCCTCTTGTTCGGCGACGATACTCTTGATGATGTTCTTGCGAACTTTGACACCGATCTCGGAATCCCTTTTGGCTCTTTCCTTAATGATGCGGTTCGCGTTAGCTATGCGCTTCATCTGATGCTTGTGTTCCCGATTGTTTTCTACCCTCTGAGGATTAACATTGACGGGCTCTTGTTCCCTTCTGCTCCATCGTTAAGCACCTCAAATGTAAGGTTCGGTTGCCTCACTGCTGGTCTCATCTCTGTGATCTTCTTGGGTGCAAACTTCATCCCAAGCATTTGGGATGCTTTCCAATTCACTGGAGCAACTGCTGCTGTTTGTCTCGGCTTCATATTCCCAGCTTCTATCATACTAAAGTAAGTTGAGCTACTGCACAGAATCCTTTACTATTAGCAAGATTTGGTAGTTGAATTCTTGGTTTATGTGTTTGCAGGGATCGTCATAGCAGAGCAACAGGCAGGGACACGACCTTGGCTATTTTCATGATCGTTCTTGCTGTATTGTCGAATGCAATCGCCATTTACAGCGATGCTTATGCGTTGTTCAAGAAGAACGCGCCTCGTCAGTGAGAGAATCTGCAGGTTTGGTGTGTTTCTGGATGAAGGAAACAAAAGCGTTTGTTTTCTCACAGCTTCTCTTCTTATGTGAAATCAAAATAATCAAGAAGGCGAGACTTCTTCTCTTCTAAATGTGTTTGTACCATTTGTTGTTGAGTGTTTTCTTTAGCGGACTTTTGCTTGCTTCTGGTTTTGTACCATGATTGTAGAAACTTTGTATAAAATGTAATCATGATATATATTTGGTGCATCATACTCTTCTCTGTTATATATCATAGTATACTAATAACCAAATCCAGTAGATCAAACATTGACGTATGACTTGTTAAATTCCAAAACACAAGCGGAAAGAGACAAGAAACCAAGATCAGACCGTTAAAAATTAGATGATTTGGATGCATGTGTGTGAGTTTCTGTGTTCATGTATCAATTCACTTAGCTGTTGCAGTAGGCTTGAAACAATCTATGTTGCAGAACCCTACTGATCTTATCATTTCCCCAAACCTGTCATCAAACATCATACATGAGACACCAAACATCATCATGATCACATCTTCATACAAATAAGAGAGTTTGTTTTTTTACCTGTCAATGCTATTCCTCCCTTTCTCTGGTTGCATTTGCTGTTGTTCCAAGGCATTACTCGGTTTCTCAGTCCCATCAACGCTTTTCCTCGTTCGTTCTCTCTTATCAACGCTGGCTCTCGCTATATCCTTGTTCTCTGTACTCAGCTTCGGCATCTCTCTCTGATCAGTGCTTGTTCTTGATTTCTCTCTTTGGTCCGTGCTTGGCCTTGCAGGCTCTCTAACATCAGTACTGCTCCTCGTCTTCTCCGTTTGTGGCACAGAAGAGCCGTTTCTAAGATGAGGCGACTTCTCAACCGCGGTTACAAACTTCTTCAGATGCTTTATATATTGCGGATACAGCTCTAAATCGCAATGGTTTCCTCCTTTGATCCATAGCGGTTCGTATTTCTCTTTACACAGATCGAATAATTGCTTCCCATGAGACCAATTCACTACATCATCTGATGTTCCCTGCACACACACCATAAGCCTCATATCAACAAATGAAAATGACTCCGAAAGAAAACAAAACCGAAATGGATACGCACATGAATTACCAGAACCGGACATTTGACAAAAGATATCTTCTCAATATTCTGCATTGGCAAGAAACAAATGATATCAGAACTAATCAATAACAAGAAATGTCATAATCTTGATGGAAAGTTTCAAAGAAGACCTTGTAAATGTCAAACCAGTAAGTTCGTTTCACAGGGTACATGACTCTAAGACCTGACGCAATCGCACTGTGGAGAACAACAGCTCTCAGGTTAGGTAACCGAGAAGCTAATTCCAGAGTCGGTCCACTTCCTACAGATTGTCCATATAAGATAACATCTTGTTCCTTCACGCCGTATTGCTCCTCCAAGCATCTATACACTGCTTCTATATCGTAATACGTGTTCTGCTCACTAGGCTGTTGAAAGAAACGCAAAAGTGAAACTGAATTTTCAATTCGCAAATGAATTGTATATCATTGGACCGATGGGAACACTATGTAGATCATACCTTCCCTGAAGACCTTCCGTAGCCTGAATAATCATACCTGCATAAACAATGAACAACACAATCAAGATCTTACTTATATCTGATACAAGAACTCAGATCCATTAAACTTGTTCTAATTTCTCGAATTTCAGCTACCAAACTTTGAAGAAAGAGTGATAATTTTACCCAATTAAGTTGACGCGGAGATGGAGGCTGAGCTCAGAGAAGAGCTCGAACATCTGGCCGATATCGGCGGCGTTGCCATGGGAATAGAGAAGAGTGAGTGAGGCTGTAGGGTTCTTAATGTAAGTCGCAACCACCTGATTCCCTCTCTTCGTCTTCAGCTTCAACACTTCGACGTTCTCCTTCACGTTCTCAACCCCTGTTAGCTTCAGCTTCCCAGTCACATCCTCAACGCCGTAAGAAGGCGGATTTGGCGGGAAAAACGCGAACTTCGCCGCCATTGACGACGTCACCGCACCCATCCCTTTGTTAGTCTCTTCAGCTAGACCCGGATAGGAAAAAAACTGGATTTTGCAGGAAAAAACTAGAAATTTCCTCTGTTTTGAGCTCGATTTACATGGACTATGGTGAAACAGAGCAAAGCGTCAATTGAAGATTTGCTATCACAGATGCAACATGAAGAAGAAAACAAAGACGTTTTTTTAAAGTGAAAAAAAACGAAATTTAAAAAAATTCAAACTTCGATCTAAGTTTTGTTGACTCAGTGATGGATTTTTATGAAAGTGGACTGGGTAGTGACAAAACGAGGGAAAACGACGGGAAAATTGGAGAGAGGGAATTTAGGGTTTGGAATCTGGAGAAGAAGAAGAAAAGGGAAGATCGATAAAATGCAGTTTTCACGGGGGAGAAAGAGGAAAACCCGGCGATGCGGAGGAGGAGAAGGAGGAGCACAAGCACGTGTTCTCTTTTATTTAATTCATTGTCCCCGAAAAGTTTCAAATTCGTCGGTCCATCAACTTCATTATCATAATTAAATAGTAGACAAATTACTTGGTTGATTACTAGAAAGAAATTGATCAATGATATTATTGAATGAAATGTAACGCAAAAAATGGAACATATAAATGTAAATAACTTTCTTTTTCTTGATAGAAAACAAACGATAACACATTACATTACAGTATTAGGTTTGGCAATTTGGGATGTGACTGACTGACTAAGTGAAAGTGATGTTTTCCGTAAGTGGATTAGACACAATAACGACGTCTAATTACAACACGTGTCAGTTGAGGAGCTGTGTGCTATCTTAGATTTTTGCAAGAAGAGGAATGACAAACAAATTGAAGTTCTTGTTTTTAATTAAAAAAAACATTTGTCTGTCCTTTGTTTTGTTTTGGTTTAGATCTAACAGAGATGATAAGACACATCTTTGGAATTGCTTGGTTTAGATAATGCCCATCTCTTGTGTTACTAATTCTCTCTCTTTTTGTGTGTCCCAACAAAAATATTTTAAAATCGAAACCAATAATGATGCAAGACTGATTAAAGGAAAATGACGACAATTAATTGTATTTAGGACAAAAGTGAGGTAAAGCTAACGTAATTTATTGTCCAGTTTGAGTTTTGAATCTTTTGAACAGTGGCACGCACGGGAGATGAGAGGGGGAGTTAAAGTTGTGTCAGACCGTGGTACAATTATTTTCGGGGGAAGAAGGATTACATCAGGCAAACGGGATAAATAGCATCTACATTTGCAAGAGATGAAGTTAGCAAAATTCCTAAGATTGCAGGATGATGTTTGTTGACTTACAAATGTCAATTTTTGGGGTTAAATATTGAGTATTTGAGTGTATTGTTATTTTACATTCGAGATTATATTATATCGATAAATTTTCATCCGTTTTGCATTGTAAATTTGATTGTAAGTTAGAAAAGGTATTGTACATCAATATGTAAAACATAAGTGCTATTTATATAGTGGGCTCCAGATGAGGCCTAACACAAGGCCACCAATTAATAAGGCCTTCTTAACTTATGAGATTCTCCTGAACCTACTGTAAAAAAATGGAAAAATCACAAAAAAATGAAAAAAAAAATCACAGAACTAATGCCCATTAACGAATGCGCAAAGCTCATAAATTTGTGTTCATGGATTGTGTCATCAAAGATTCTAGGGATCGTTTCTGATGAGTCGGTTAAAAGAAAAACATCACTAGTAATTAAAACGAGGCTTTACGAAAACTAATGTTTTTACTTTACCAAAAAAAAAAAAAAAAAAAATCAAAACGAGGCTTTCACAGAGAAACTAACAAAACTAACACGTAAGAACAGGCCACAGGGACCAGCTCGGGCAACACGCCGTTAGTTCTAGTTTCCAAAAATAAATATATATATACTATCAAGAATTAAGAATCCTAAGCTTTTTGGGTTAGTTAAATTCATTAGTTTAGTAAACGGTCCTTAATTACATTTAGTAAATCCATGCAAGACCCATTTACATGTCTCCCAATCCCTGCGCTTCATTTCATGCACTTCCACGTGACTTCTTCATTTGTATCTCGTTATTTTGATAATAAACTAAGTCAAGTTCCGTCTCGACGTGTTGTTTTATCAACTTACGTTAACATATTATATTAGCATGTAGCTTGTGAGACAGAACTTGTAATTTCTCTCTTCTTATTCTTTTTTTGGTTTTACTCTCTTCTTATTCTTTCTTTCTCGCACCAAAGGTAATGCATTTCTATTTTTACATATAACATATGTTCCTCCAACTATTTATTTTCCCAAATTAAATATAAGCTCTATCTTATCTTTATAAAAAAAGAACAATGAGATGGATGAGATTTCTCCCGCCTTTGGTTTGGTATCGCACCAAGCAAAGATTCCAGACTGATAATCGCGTACACACATCTGATAATCCCGTCGCGTTGTGCCTAGACTTGTGAGGGTTCTCAAGTATTCAACTATCCGATTTATTTTCTTTATATTCTCGAGGGGACAGCATATAAATGTATAAATTATTGATCATTCATATTAAAGATGCACCTTGAAGTACTAATATTCTTTTTGTTATTACTAGACGACGAAAACCGTGCTCTTTTGACTCGGGTCTGTACTCTTTATTTCTCCATGACCAGAAACAAATATTTAAAATTGTAACTAAGTTCATTGAGTTTCACTTCCCTCATATGTATGCATCTCTTCTTTAAAAACAACAAAAGAGGGAGAGAGAGAGAGGTTAAAAGAATTTATCCTTAATAATCATGATGAGATTCCCAATCATAGTACTAGCTTTCCTTTTGATTATTCAAGCCCTAGAAGACGAACACATCCTAGTCTATGCTCATGAAGGTGCCTTTACACAAAGATCCCTAACTTCCCTTTTCTTCGTTACCTTTATTTGTTGTTTTCTTGCAAAAGAGGTTTTATCTCTGAAGATTAGCTTAATAAAATAGTTACTAATAACTTTATTTTACCTAAAGATCTCTAAATCACTCTTTTTGTTTTGATAGGTGGAGATGCTGGTCACAAGAGTCTTGACTATGGAGATCAAGATACGTCGACACTGCATCCAAAAGTATCCATTTCTTTTCAATAAATCTTTCTCAAGTATTTTGTATATACTTTTAAACTGATTATATCAATTTATGAACCAAAACAGGAATTATACGACCTAAACAACATTGGTGCACCGAGGAAACTAAGGTCCAGTAGAACAAGGAGAGCCAAGAAGCAAGTGATGCCGACAAACAGTGATAACTGGAGTTTCAAGATTTCAGGAGCATCAAAACATTTGATGGTGGAGCGTAATTTAGGATTTCATAAACGAAGTAAGAGTTCTTCATTTAAATGGAAACCGAAGAAGAAAAAATCTTCTGGTCGATTTGTAGCTTTCTATGATGATTATCGTGGACCAGCACGTCATCCTCCTAGACATAACTAACAGTCACAACAGCAAAACTATATAATTTGTAATATTTTTTTTATTTAAATATAATTTGTAATATTTGTATAAGTTTCTTCAGTAATCAGTTTTAGTTGTTTGTACAAAGACCTTTATTTATATTCTAAAATGATTGTAAAAGTAGTGAACATGTCTTCATTCTAGATATGTTTTGGCTTTACTGCAGAAGAGCATAAGAAGACCATTATATTTGCAGATCTTGACACCACTTATAAGGTTTGTCTTGTAAACCTTCTTTTTTTTTTTTTTTTAAAAAGGCTTGTCTTGTAAACCTTCTTTAAGACTATTAAAGATGTATTCTTCTTTTTATTTTGGGTAAAGTCATAGATTTAGTCTTTTCATTTTTTTTTCTTGAATGAAAATTTAGTCTTTTCATTAGTTATATAGTGTTAATGATTTCATATATATAATATGTGTTCGCAGCACATCGATGATCTCAACAGCGATAATAGCCAACCAAAACTTGAACAATTTCTTCCACCAAGGATATGAAGAAATTTGCTCGATTGACACAATGACTATCCGATCCATAGTAAGCCTCGAAGAAAGCCTCCGGTTAATAAGCTCGTGAAAATGATTGTTAGATAGATAAAAATGTTTTGTTGCTATGTATAGGGACTTACGTCTTGCGTGTGTAATAGAGTACTAATAGATACTAGCTAGTGTTAAGGAGAGCCTAGCCACGAAGCAAGCCTCCGGTTAATAAGCTCGTGACAATAGGTAGATAAAATGTTTTGTTGCTATGAATAGAGACTTACGTCTTGCGTGTGTAATAGAATACAAATAGATACTAGCTAGCGTTAACGAGAGCTCTCTTTCGTTTCTATTATCCTTAGTCGTGATTAATTACTTATCTTTATGTAGACCTTGTTTTAGTATGAATTTCTCTGCTTTTAGGCTTTTTGATATCGAAGTTCCTATGATTTAGAAAGATAAAAACAGAGAGAGAGGAAATACACACGAAGACGGTTAGAATTTCCATTAAGATCATTCGAGTTAGTGCTTCAGTGCAGAAAAAAATGGGAATTAGAAAAGAAACCTAAGGATATACGTCTTCGAAACTCTTAACTTACTTAACTAGTTTACGTTAGTGTAAAAGACAAAAGCAAATATTTAACTTTCCTAATATACCAAAAACGCAGAAACGTTATAAACCAAAACAAAAGAAAGAGCGCCCACCGTGGGGCTCGAACCCACGACCACAAGGTTAAGAGCCTTGCGCTCTACCAACTGAGCTAGACGGGCAGTTGTTCTAGCTGTTCGCTTTTTCGTTATTAACTAAATGCTGATAAAATTATAATGTATCTTGTTCATAGGAAAAAGGTACTTTTAAGTTCTTTCTTTACAAGAACTCGAATCTGAACGTAATTTTTTTATTTCTGTATAACAGTCTGGGTTACATTTTCTTCAATATAATATTTTATCAGACATCTAGTTAGTTTTTTTTTTTTTTTTTTTTGACGTTATGCGCGAAACAGTTAAAGATATCTTTTGAAGTTATTATTTTCCAGAGACTGGATGGGCAGCAGAATCATTGAGTTCCTTTAGAGCTGTCCCACAACCTTCAAGATCGAGCTTTAATGGTTCTTGTTTGGTAACGGATGCAGGCTTATCCTTGCTTTTGCCCCATAAAAGTATATAAAGTCCCACGATGATGACCACTGACCCTATCACACTTTTTTTTGTCATGACACATATATAATTCATTTGTCAGTTTTATTAGTAACAAAAGTCAAAAAGAACCATTTAATATCAACCCGTTAGGCGAAAGAAATGCATATAATTGGTTGTCCCTTGTGTAAATCATTCTAGACTTATACTTAATCCGTTTTAACTTTTTAAGTCAATCTTCACAAGATAAACAGATTAAAGGTCTTTATAAGTTTCAAAGGTAGTTTTATAAATTTAATAGATTTAAACCTTTTGTTATGCAATATGATGCATGGCATCAGTCTGGTTGATTCCAATTCCACATTTAAAAGATACGTACGCAGATTATTGGTGTCTTTACTCTTTAATATAGGCATATTCTATTCAAGTCAATGAAATATTTAAATACATAATATTCAATATTGTATCAAGATGCGTTGGATCCAATTTTAAATCGTTTGTTTGTACTTTGAAATTATTAGATATTTAAAGCATATAATTATATATATAAATAATTAGGGCAAAAAAGTATGTTACCTTCCGCAGTAAATTTGCTCGTGAAGAAAAGAGAAGCTGAAAATGGCAGCAAAGACTTGAATCAAAGGGATGAAGCTAGACGTGAAAACCGGACCTCTTTGCCGGAGACACCACGACATTCCCACGTAGCACAATCCCGATCCCACGATTCCCTATTCAATTACCGATCATCGTTGGTACATGCAAATATATTCACTTTGTAAGGGTTTCATGAAATCATCTTAAATTATAAAAAGAGGAAAATTATAATAACAAACGTCAAATGCAATTAGTGTATAGATAGAAGAAATTTGGTAGGCATATTAAATAGTAAATTTGATTGCTTACCGAATAAAGTAAAGCTAAAATTTGGAACCTATCTTTAACAACCCACATGGATATGCTCCTCTCCGAGATCAAACTCAATAAAGCAGATTGGATCACACCAAAGAAAGAGAGGATCGTGGTGCTCGAGTATTGGCACGGATATATTCGGCTTATTTTAGCTTGAACGATGAACCATAACGACCATATCAAGATTGATATGATCAGCATGATCGAACCCATTGCCCACTTTTGGGTTGACGCAGTGGTTAAACCATTTGCCGTTTGTGTTTGCGCTTGAGCAGTATTTCGAGTTAAACCGGGTCCTTTATAAAGCGTAAGCACCAAAGCTCCACAAATGCATATCATTGTGCCTAACACTTTTGCTCTTCCTATGTTGCTCTTGATGTTGAGAGTCTCTTGCCTAATCATTAATTATTTAATTATAATGTATAGTTGATAGACGAAATTTGTGTTAATTATATGAAACTGATCGACTTTCATTACCTAAAGATGAGAGCCAAGGCAAAGGTGATCGAAGGAACCATGTTGCTAAACGCTAGGGCAAAAGTGGAAGACGTATATTGTAGTCCTATAAGAAAGAAGTATTGCACCAAACTTGTCCTGCAAATTTGGTCAGTGATCAAATTTAGTTTAGACAATTTGTTAACATCCTTTATTATTTGAAAGTGAGACTCTATTAAAGGAAACCTACCCCAGAAGAGCGCTAAAGAAGAGTGAACACAAGATACTACCTGTGAGTTTTGGCCTGTTATGTCTGCAAAAAAAGATAGGGTGAACAAAAAATTTACGACGAAGAAGACAAGTAGATATTTTATATATTCAAACACGTACCTTTCCAAGAAAATCGCAAATGGTATCAAGAACAGAGTTCCTGCGGCAAGTCGGTAAGTGGTCGCGACCATACGGTTAATTCCTTGATTAAGCATCTTCTTGAACATAACGTTTACAACGCTTAGCCCAATGTTGATCATCGACATTATAAGCACAGCCTTCCATAGTTTCGCATCAAACTTCACCATATTTAATATTTGTATCGATATATTTGTCCGTGTGTATATACACTAGATATAATATGTAGCTAGTTGTCTTTACGTAGTTTTGAGTAGTTGGTATGAAATAAAGATTTGATGAGGGTGTGGCTATATATATCGTGCGTGACTCAAGTAATGCCTAGAATCGTATCATTTTCGCAATTATCTTTAACTAATCTCATTATGCTTTGAACTTGGCTTTTTTTGGTCATTATTCTTGTCAACTATTCGTGACCAGAAGGAGAGAGAGTTGATGAGTTAATGGAAACTCTCGTAACTTCCATCATCAAGACGTGACATCATACATCATTTGTATGTTTATTTCACTATACGTAGATGCAACTTGTTTAAGGATATAAATGTTTTTATTAGCTTAAATGGGTAACACCTTGCGGCTACGGTATGAGGGTGTACAACTCTTATTGTTTACCAGTCGATATCAAACGTGTTCCAAATGGTACGAAAGGTATTTTCTGCTTTCTATTTTTGTACTGTTATCTCTAACGTGTTTTAGTTTTTTGCAATTTCTTAAACTTGGAACATTTTAGCTCAACAGTCGGATCCAATATATTGTATACGACTAACAACACGAAATTAGGTGGGAATAATATGTTCGTTTCATTTGCCCAAACAAAAAAATAATAGTATGTTCGTTTCACTTAAATCGATTTAGGGTGAGAAAAGAATGATTTAAAACCACATAAAATTCGTCCTGGCAAAAAAAACCCCACATGTATATTAGTAATGAAAATGTTAAATCACAGAAATTAATACTATGGATTAATACATACATTTATATGCATTAAAATTTTTTTGATTATTGATAAGTTAATTAATAGTATAACATCCAAATTTTAAAAATAAGTTTGATTTTTATATAATCCGTACTCACGTTGGATACCCGTCAACAAAGTGAAAGACATACTTTTTATTAATATTTAGAGTGGATTATCTACCATCAAATAAAACAGAACAATATATCGTTACAAGAATCCTAATAAAAACAGAGATCTAATCAGACAATATTTAGCATCTATACAACCAACACGCACGTTTAAAATTTGCAATATGGAATAAGTATGCCTGTTGGTTTGTGGAATAAGAATGTTATTTTGATCTTTTCATTAATAACATGCATTCTCTAATTTAATATCTTAAAATGGCAATAGGGCGATTGCTGTTTGGAGGGTATCTACCATGACATCTTATTTTGGTCAGAAAAGTTCCACAATTGTATTTTCAAGTTCACGTAAAGATCCAGTAACGTTCCAGCTCATACATTAGCCAGACTTGGTCCACACAATTTAATCTTCGAATCGTCAAGTTTGTATCCTCAGGGTGTTTTATCATCTTCTTTATATAACGATCATTTAAACTATTTTGATATAGGAAATTCATTTTTCGTCGAAAATTAAAATTATGGATTAGAATCGGGATGATAATACAACGGCAAGTTCTAGTACAAACAAACCACGATATTATAATTTTTAATCGTATAAATCTGATTTAGAGCTTGGAAACAATAAAAACTGCACACATTTGTGAGAAAAATGTTAGAACTAGAAAAATGTCAAAATCTAGAAATATTAGTAGTCAGTTAAAACTACACAATTCGAGTCAATAGAATATTTTACCACAGTTAAAACTTAATTGCACATTTCAAGTTGGGATGGTAGTCAAAGTGAAGGACATATATATATTCTGCTATGCGTGTTAGGCATACAATTAAAAAGAACCATAATGGTTACAAGATTCTCAATAAAAAAGGATAGATCTGATCATACAATAAGAAGCATATATACTTGGTTAATCCGTGAATAGTTTATATATATATATATATATATATATATATCTACATCCATAAATATTTATAAATCACATATAATATCAATTGATATTTGACAAGAGTATTCAGAGTTTTTGCACCAAAAAAAAAAGAGTATTCAGAGTTTTAATGGAGATAAGAACAATGCGTCCAATCCTGTCTCAAAATGTGATGCTTTTGCTTAGCTCTAAGTATCTTTCATTTGTTTATTTCAGTTCAGTTCCTTTACGTTTCTCGACATCTAAAAATTGATACTATCCGAATTATTTACCATTTCCTAAGGTTGAACCCAAAATGTGGTGGTCGTAAACATTAATAATTTTGTCAACCACTGATTTCCTCCCTACGTTCGATTGTATTCTTAGAAAGTTGTTTAGTCTTCAACCTTTTCAAATAAACCAATCAAAATCTAAAATATACGCCGATTACATTAGATTACTTTTGTCACATTTTAAAAACATGGAGATGCACAATTGTTATAATTTTTTAGTTAAGAACTAACAAGACATAAAGTATATGCACTTTTTAGCAAGGGGCTGGTTTGTGGCCACGAGGCCCACGGAAAAATAAAATTCATTTTTTTTTAAACAAAATTTATTTTCATCCTTCAAATGTTTCCATATTCTTCTGGAATTATTTTCTGTCGACTTTTCTTTTCATATTGGAACGTGATATATATATTCTGAATCCATCGTTTCATAAATCGTTTTTCACCAACTATGCATCTACTGTTAAGTTTAACAAAAAAGAAAAGAAACTGTTGTTACGTTGCGGCACTAAAAAAAAATTCGAATAGACCTGTCTGATCTTTTTGCTTTGTAAATCACCTCCAAAAGTCGCCGTGGACACAAAGTCAAGTTTTTCTTTTTGATTAAAAAGGACACTAGTCAAGTTGAAATGAATCGGCTAATTTTTTTTCTAATATTTCTTATTTATATTCTCAGATAAAAAGTATAATGGTTTGCACTAATTAATCTAGGTTTGTTAACACAGTATATGTGGTGACAAAATTGTGTAAGGTGTGAACTAACATATTTAGCTAGATTGTAAATGGAGTTTTTGTTGTTGTTGTTGTTAGCCATGAATATTCCAGACTAAATTCAGAAAGTTATAGAAATTCGAGTTTTTTTGGCTACTAAAAATGTCTACTCTGTGATAATATATATCTTAAATTGCACAAAAAAGAACTGAGCTTTAGCTAATAAATCGAATGCTAATAAGTAATAACCACTGAACCACCAAAAAATAGTATACATAGTAAACCGAACTACTTCATACTGTAAAACAGTACGACATAGCTAAAAATCGATTACCCTTTGTTACAAAAAAATAAAATAAAAATCTATTGCAAAGAAGAAATAATGTAAAGCTGAGGGTGAGGAAAACCGAAAAAAAGAAAATCGTCGATGTCAAATCAACCGCATTATGATCATCCATTCTTCCCATCACCATCAAATTCAATCGCCGTACCGAGATGTTGCTAATGCGGGAGATGATAATCCACCCACCCATAGTGTCAATGTCCATTGATCATTATGTCTATTGTTTCATGTTTTTTTGTTAATTTGGTAACAAATCCATAATTGTATCCTTTAATTTTTTGTCCACTGAGCAAATAATATTGTTCCACCATTTTTTGGTCCTTCTCTAACAATTATTTTTCTTATATATGGCAAAAGTTGAATTCGAATTTTCTAAACTATAGCTTGATTTGTTTTTTTTTTCATTTTATAAATATATCTAATTAACTCTTATATTTATGGAAATAAAGGAAAAATCTAACTGAACCAAATTTTTAAAACTTAAAATTTTGAAAATAATTAAAGCAGTTTAGGAAAGAAAGAGTTATCCGTTTCCGACCGTAGAATTAAAACTCTTTTCCTAATCAAAATTATCCTCGTATCGCTGTAATAAGTGAGATTCACGCACTAATAAGCGCGTGGGAGAAACGGTGAAAATATAATTTAATGTAATCAGATTTTTTTTCAGAGAGACCAAAGTCCAAACAAGTGAACAACCCCATTGTCCGATCAACACCGATCTACTTCTCCAGACATGTTCTAACACGTGTTCCTTTTTCAACTCAGATTCTGACTTTTCTTCAACTCTAGTCTCTGTTAATGTTCTTCTCCATCAGTAGAACTAGGTTAAAGCGAGTGAGTGTGAGAGTGAGAGATGAAAGGGGAAGGTAAAGTGTTCTTGAAGTCGCGTATGAAATGGATTGGTCTGCTTGGTCTTGTATTGTCGGTTTTCTCTCTCATTGTCCATTTTCTTCTAGCTGGATTCACCGACGACTCCATCTCCGATTACTCAATCCCTGTTAATATCTTCTCCTGGAGACCTGTCTTCGACAATCCCAGATTCGCCCGACATGTATACATCTCTCTCACTGTTTCCTTTTCATTTTGATCTCACAGTGTTTAAGTGGATCTCCATTGTTGAGGAAACAAAAGATATATAATTGAATCACAAGAATTTTTTATTTAATTGTCTCAAGTGGGCCATTCTTCTTTTCTTCTGTGAATCTTCAGTTTCATTGGCATTTACGGCTTCTTTCTTTCCTTAAAAGTTCTAAGGCTTTGTGTTATAATCGTAATTATGTCTCTTTCCTTTCTTAATTTAAAAGTTTATCAAATTGACCAGAATTCTACTGTTAGCTTCACTAACAGTTCATGAATTACTAGCTTAATTATGCAATGCTCTGAGTTTAGCTTTGTTTTTTTTTTAATCTTAGAGCTTCTTTATTTATGTATGTTGCAGACGCCATTGTACAGAAGACTATGGGGTCCAACAAGGCATGTGGAGTCATTACTTCCTGATGCTAATCCAAGAGTTTACCATTCAGGTTTGCTTTCTTTTAGAAAATTTATGTTCCTTCCACTACATTATCGGATCCGGAACTGAATCTTTGAGATTGGTCCTCTTACAGTTATAGTCTTAGCTTGGAATCATAGTTTAGTTTGTTGTCTTTTGATAAGAGGAACTATGCTGGTGTTCTGTATCTGCTTCTCTGTCTCATTGTTTGTAATTTGTGTGCAACAGATCCTCCTGCTAAGACAAATGGTTTTGTTTTTGTTAGAATACAAGGTGGTTTCCATGAGATTAGAAATTCGGTAAGAAAAACAAAAATTCAGATCATCGTTGACATTTCAATCAAGTGTGACTCTTCTCATGGCTTTAACTTTGTTCATTATTATTTTTTAGATTCCTGACGTTGTAGCTGTTTCTCGGCTTCTTAATGCCACTTTGGTTATTCCTGAGATCCAATCAACAACAAGCAGCAAAGGGATCAGGTTTGTACATAATTACTGATACTCTATGATTGATGTTTACTGATTTTGGTTCTTTACTCTAGTTTCATTGATATGATATGTTGTTTTACGAGCAGCTCACAGTTCAAGAGCTTTGCATATTTGTACAATGAAGAGCACTTCATGGCATCAATTGCAAATGACGTTAGAGTTGTTAAAACTCTCCCAAAGAATCTCAAATGGGCTAGAAGAAAAAAACAAATCCCTTCTTTTAAAGTCTCTTACGGATCTTCGCCTTATTACTACTTACACCATGTTCTTCCTGTTCTCATCAAGCACTCGGTCGTTGAACTAGTTGTCCCTCACGGTGGATGCTTACAAGTAATGAACAAACTTTCCCAATCTTCTTTACAATCATTTCTCTATAGTATCATCAATCATCGACTATATACTCTGATTGGTTATTTTCTTGTAGGCTATACTTCCAAGTGATCTTGAAGAATATCAGAGATTACGGTGTAGAGTTGCGTTCCACGCCTTACAGTTTAGGAAAGAGGTTCAAGAACTTTCCACTAAAGTATTGCAAAGGCTGAGACCTTTGGGACGACCTTTCATAGCCTATGATCCAGGGATGACAAGAGAAGCTTTGGCCTATCATGGTTGTGCTGAACTGTTCCAGGTACTTTGAAGTTTGTAGTATTGTACAGTTTGGGGAAGAAACTGTTTCATAGTGTACTGCGATTTTTACGTGTTTATTACATTTTGGAGCTACTTGAAGGATGTTCATACAGAGCTTATTCAACATAAACGAGCTTGGATGATCAAACGTGGGATTGTCAAAGGGAAGCTCAAGGTAGACTCAGCTGATCAACGCTTAGCAGGCTTATGTCCTCTCATGCCAGAAGAAGTAAGCAAGACTCAGTGTGGATTTCAGTTCGACAAAGTAACAAAACCTGCTTTGTTTATGCTTTTGGTTCTCTCTCTCAGGTTGGTATTCTTCTACGAGCTTACGGATACTCATGGGACACAATCATATATGTGGCCGGTGGAGAGGTTTTTGGCGGGCAGAGAACGTTGATTCCTTTACACGGCATGTTTGAGAACGTCGTTGATCGGACTTCTCTTAGTACTGGATGGGAGCTGGCTAAAATGTATGGCCGCGAGGCGAAGCATAAAGATATCAAGAAAACTACATCTCCTTCGATAGAGGAAGAAACGAAACATGATGCGTTGAAGAGCATAAGACAAAGGCCTCAACCATTGCCTCCTCCACCGGCTAGACCAAAGTACTATAACTTGTTTGCTTCCGGAAATTAGGGATTTTTCTTACCATTTGCGTTGATTTAGGTTCCATCAAATCGAAAATTTAGTGAACTAAAGATTAGATTGGCTAATTAGTGTAGAGGAAAGGTCTCTACTTTGCACATACTTAACATTGTAGTAGTTCTTGATATCTTTCAAGATTCTCTGTTGCCATTTTCAAGATATTGTTTGCATTGAACACTAAGCTAGTAGCTAGCTATTGAATTAATCACGTACCGAGTCTAAGACTGTTATCTAAATGTGATCGAGAACATCTTGAAGTTATTTCTGATGAGTATTCTTATGATTATTTAACGTATATAAGTCTTTCATTTTCAGTTTCTCTATCATATTCTTTGCAAAGGAGGAAGCAAACTGCACAATGGTACCGAATTTACCAGAAGCCTACCCACCAACCAAAGTCCCTTTCAAGAAAGGAACTGCACAGAAGTTTCTACAACCTTCAGGGACAGGAACCGACCTTGGCTTCTTTGCCCTGGATGATCTCTCCAAACCATCGCCAGAAGAGGTGTATCCGCTTGTGATATCAGCCGAGACAGTAGTAATCTCGCCGAGCTCTGTTTCGGAGGAACCAGTAGTTCATAAGCAAGTCACACAGGCGTGTTTGGAGAGGACTAATGATGGATCTTTCAAAGTGAAAGTAATGAAACAGATCCTGTGGATTGAAGGAGCTCGGTATGAGCTACGTGAGTTGTATGGAGTATAAGAATGCAGAGAAAGAAGAGGATCTTGATGAAGAGGACTTGTCTTCTTCAGAATTGTTCTTTGGTCACAAAGGAAGTGGAGGGAACAGTAATGTTAACAATGAGACTGTAAATTCTGAAGCTAACAACAAGGAAGAAGGCCAGCTTGAAGATCAAGAAGAGCTCGAGGGCAGTGAAAAATAAGCTTTATCGAAGTCAAATGTACCAAGTAGATCTAACTAGGAAGCTCACTTCTTGAATTGCAGTATTTTTCATCTTTTTCTCAAAATTAGTTGATGTAGCCTGGTTATTAGGTTTGTGTCTTTAGAGGAGATTTTGATGATGATCAATTTTACAACAGTCTAGTGTGTTCCAAGTGATTTTTAAAAACATAGTTATATAAAATTATATCTTTGTAACATAATCCCAGAAGCAAATCACAACCATGTAATACAAATACAAAATCAGCATACGTAAAAAACACTAACCAAACCAACCCGCAAAACACAAAGCGAGGCCCCAAAGCTGGGACAAAGACAGAGAAACAAAGACCTATAATCACACAATGGATCCTTGTTATGGAGAAGAGTAACGATTTTTCTATACAATTGTACCTTAAGTCATTGTCAGGAACGAGGAACGAATGTATCAAAGAGACTTGTGATAAATACCCTCTCCTTTTGTCTTACATCCGAGCAACCTTCAAACTCGATTCTGATGGACCTTTTTCATCATCCTTAGTCCTTACCGTAAAAGGCAATAAGATGATTTCACATGGTTGTGCCAAGCCCCAACGTTTTGCCCATCTACAGTGACCCAGTCCACAACAGTTGCAGCAGGTTGTTCGTACCATTCATCCAGCTGCATTCAAATACAACCAAATGCTGTTTATTAGACAATTCATTCATTACTTTAGTTCGGAAATTAGTGTGATGACTAAACATTGTAAACAATTTATTCCACAATGTCCCATGTCCAAAGGATTGATAAGACTAGGGAAGAGAATAGCATCATAATAGTGAGCTTATATAGTTGAAGGAGTTGCCTACCAAACCCCACACGTATTTGCAGTGCTCCAAGGAAGTTTGAGCATTCAAGACCGCAGTCTTGAGCTCAGGCAACCATTTCTCTGTTATTGTATTATCTTGTTCTGTGGCAAGATCTAGGCAATACTTAGTTGTCCTGCGCATTGTATTCACATAGAGAATAAATCAAGCAGACAAATATTATGGTGCATTATTCACATGATAATAGTACAGAGAAGCACGAAATACCTTTCGTATTCTTGCTGGGCGTGGTAAGCATGGCTTAATAGAGAACGGCCACTTTCAACTAAATCCTGACGTATATCCACCAAGTTGATTGCCTTTGCCAAATCTTCCAAAACACATGCCTCAGAGCCACGTAGCCTCAAGCAGAACTCAAGAGACTCTAAAACTGATGCCAAACTTGCATCTGAACCCTCCAAACCTATATCAACAGCAAGAAATATTGGTTAAAGCAAACCCTACAGTAAAGCTGCAACATGTATGAGAACTGTTTGACCTTTGCATAATCTAGCTATTTTATTTAAAGGTGCTTTATTTTTCTTGCACTCTTTTACATCATAAACTTATATCCCATGAATCTGCAACTTGCGAACAGTGCAGGTATAGGAACAAGATAGTGCAATACAATCAAGCCCTAATCTATGTAGATGAACCAACCTCTCAAAGAAAATTGTTGATATGTTTGTTTTGGTTTAGTTTTGTATTTGATGTTTAAAAGACAATTCTACAGAAAATAAAATATTTTGTCAGTCTGAGCCTGTGAATAATAGTTTCGCAAGGAAACACAATGAGATTTGACCATCAAGATATTTTTTGTGAGTGATTCACTACTCAATTTCTGCAGTTGGAAAAAAACGTGATTCACCTGCAGGATATTGAAGGGCAGCAGAAATGCGACATATAGACGGAATTGCCGAAGGATCTCTTGCACCAGCTCTAGCAGTCAACAAAGCAGCATTCTTCTCTGCTGAGGCAACAGCTTCAGGTCCCGTTGACCCATTAGCTCCCATAGACTCCAGAAGGGCCTGATCAAGAAAAAGAGTCAAATAGATATGAATGGTATCATAGCAGTAACATTCAAGATTGCTAAAACAAAATAGCATAAAACCTAGTTATAACAATTCCACTACAGCACTTAAACCAACAAAAACCATGAATTTCTGACCTAAACTTCCTCTATGCTCCATGAATATTTAACTCAAAGCAAAAGAATATTTGTGTAACTAAAATGTATCTTATAGATTGTTTAAGACAAATGCGAAAAGAAAATACAGACCTGCGGAGTTGCTGGAAGCATGTAGAGGGTGTTATCAGGACTTTGGAAGAAAGCAGATACTTCTTTCTCAATGTAATCTTTAGCGTTTTGTGAAATGTCTGCAACAACCTCACTAGCTGGAATTATCGTGGCCATTGCGTATTCCCTTGCAGCCAGTGGTTGCTGATTCCAGAATGCAGCAGCATCCTGAGCAAAAAAAGAATTATGATACAGATTTGTGTTAATTGCAATTAATATTTTTGTATATACAGTGACAAAATCAGTTGGAAAATTACCATGTTGGCCTTGAGAAGAGTAGTATATATGGTTTCAAGTTCAGATCTACGAGCATCAAATTCTTCAATTTTCTTCCACTTCTGTTTCAAAGAATGTTCAGCTTCTTTCCTTTCAGCGCACAATTTATTCAGCCGCTGTATTTCAGATATCAACGTATTTAAGCTAGCCCTCAAACCAGCAGCTTCTCGTTCCTTTCCCCATACGTCCAACTGCCAAGGAACAATTAAGTAGCTTGGTCAAGTTAACTTAAACAGGACCTGTTTGATAACTGAATCAGCTTTATAAACAAACTGTAGAACGACATATAATCAACTTTCATACGAGTATTAGTTGCATAAGCCGGTAAGGGACATGTAAGTTAGAGAGAAATGTGTTTTAGATCACAGGACGGAGATGTATGAATAGATTAACTAAGGTAATATAAGTCATGGATACCAAGGAAAACCTGGCACTTACCTCAAATTGCCTCAGATTTTTAACATTCTGTGACGTGCCACCACCAAGTGATTGAGAAGAAACTGTGTCAACACTTCCATGCAAACGGTTTTTAAGTTTCTGACATAAAACCCGAGCTTCTGCGGCTTTGTTCAGTGCATCTTCAGTTCCCAGAAATTGTTGCACATGTGCTTTCTGGATACAAGAATGCGTGCAAGATGAGATAGATAGATCTGAACGCATGATCATACAGTGCAACAAGTGTAAACGCAGTAGCTGACCTACGCATGCGAGCTAAGCCATTGCTAAACAGCAAGCCTAGAATTGTGTCCTTTCTAAACATTATATGCTGAAATAACCAGAAAGAAACCATAAAAACCAGATAAGGAGAGCAACCTGTCGTTCAAGGAGCTGGTTGTTTGATCCTTTAGAATGAGTATCTGTAGCAAGCTTTCCATTACCATTAAACTGATAACTTAATGGTGAGCTGACATCAGAAGAAGAAATCTCCATTACCCGGTTGTTTTCGTACTTATACCTGTAGAATAGGTTGACATCATATAGCTTTCATTAGCAAAATCAATACCCAATCTGTCTCTGCAGTTTTCAAGAAATTAGTAGAAATAGCATGCAAGTGAACAAAACCCTGCGCAGAAATGCACAGTTAGAGAAAGAGTTTTAAGGAAAGTAGAGCGGCACCTCAATGTTTCAGCATCAGCTCTGACATCGATCTTCTCTATCTCTCTAGATATTAGGGTCTTAAGGCGTAGGGTGTGCACAGCAATAGCCTGAAGGAGTAAAGGAGGACTACTCAGGCAGTTCAGTATAACAGCTCTCATCTCATCAGATATTTCTCCATCATATTCAAAACCCAGCTTGGTAGTTTCCAGCTCAGGTTGCGAATGAATTCCATTTCCTTCGTACGCAGGAAAAGAGTTACATATTCTGTCAACCATGTGTGATGCAAGTACTTCACAAGCTTTCCTGATATTCCGTTCTCGAGTTGTTTCAACAAGAATGACATCATCCGCCGGCTTACTTCCTTTGACAGAGGAATAAACAGATTCCCTCTCCATGTTAGTGCTGAGCTTGCTTGATAAATCACTCGAAGAATCTAAACTCGACCTCTGTGCATCCCTTGCTTGATTAACGTAGAGTTGTAGCCTTTTGTGATATTCTGCAAATATTCTTGCTGCTTCGTCACATTGTTGATCGTAAGCTTCCAGCGTTGCTTGCTTATGCCTGGAATAGCAGTAAAATCTCATAAAACGATTCAAAAGATCCACTGCACATAAACAATGGAAGTCATATTGTCATAGCAGAGCACATTCCTAATAACATACCAAGTTCCCTTAGTTCATGTGGTTAGTTGGCAATGATTCATCTTAGAGGGAAGATATGTGAATACTACAAAGTACGTAAATAAGCTTACAACTTTTGTCACAAAAGTGAAGTCAAGGTAACAACGAAATTCTATTGAGGCATCCTAAAGCTATAGCAAGTTACAAATATCAATGCATAACTAAACATGAACACTTCAATGCCGTGATTGTGTGAGTTCCTAAATCACTCAGAAGGAAATCCGAGATAACAACCTACAAGATGCAAAGGGTTGGCTACAATTCCTCAAATCTGATATCCAGAAAACTATTAACCAGGTAATCATGATACACTATGCTTATAACAGTTTTGCTGAGGAGAAGATATACAATTATCATAATCTGGAAGCAATTAGCGAACCAATCTTAGCCAGTGCACTACATACTACTCTCTTCAAGAAAGAATGGGAAGTAATCAGAATTAAGATTCAAGTCAAACCTGTAATTTGACCTCTCGTCAAGCATCCTCTTCCGTTCAGCTTCTTCTCTCGAGACCTCAAGCATTCTAGCTTTCAAATCCTTCCTTTGCCTCCTCACAACGTTCCTCAATCTCTCCACCTCTTTTGCAGCCAACTCCCTTTCATGCAATGCAGCCTCTCTGCTCTCAGCAGAACTCAAACCCTCCCCAGCAACCGCCTTCTCTTTCCGTCTTCCTTTACCCTTACTCTCATCCTTCACCGGATTCACAGGATTGGCAACACTACTAGCATCGCCGCCGCTACTACCCCCATGAACCGTAATGTTACGCCTAATGCTCTCAACGGTCTTCTCCGATTTCGCTCGGTTTATCAAAAAATTCCAAATGGGTATCATATTCCCTCTACAAATCTTCCTTATAGCATCAACAGAAGGCACATGGGATTTGCTATGACCTAATTGCCTGTAACCCATTTCCTTCTGAAGCCATTCTAGTATGGCTTCTGGTGTTGGATTCGAGCTCGATAAGCTCTGCATTTCTCTAGAATCAGATGGCTCACTCGACCCCTTAACCCTCTAGTTTTTCTACTCGCAAATTCAGTACATTGCCCAAAATTGACATCAACAAGTTGAGTTTTTGCAACAGTTGAACCAGAAATGGAAGCTGTAAATACCTAGATTCCACAAAAGCAGCCAACAGAGCTAAACAAGCATATGAGTATCTATGGAGGGCAAGCGAGCTAGGGTTTTCAAATCTCCGGCAATGGAGCACTAACCGATTGATTATCCAATTGACGAAGCGATAAGACGAACAGATCTGGGAACGCAGAAGATGAAATTGCTGGAATAAGTCAGATAATTTAGATAGAGAGATTTCAAAATGGGAATCGAAAAAGATGAAACACGAATTTTTGTTGCAAGTGATGAATGAGGTCACTCTGCCTGCGTTCTTCAGATTTGAAAATGAAACGGGTCCGGATCCGGATCAAGTTCCGGGTCGAAATAGGTGATCGATTGAAATGAGAGAAACATGTGGGTCTAATTTGAAACTTGAATCAAATCTAGGGGTATTACTAAAACAATCTATTTATTTTTCTCTCTCAATACGTTTTCAAATTTTCAGTGGGCAATTTTTTCCAAAAACAATACAAAATTAGTTTCTTATAACCCATTAAAAACCCATTTTAGCAATTTTATTCTTTCGTAAACACATTTTAGCAATTTAAAATTCTAATAACGATTCACCTAATTTCCGTTTATAGTTTTTTTTTTCATTCCATAATGTGACGACAATATATACATGTAGTCAAATAGTTTGTGTTAATACGTTTTGTGTCACCATTCAAGTTTTTTTTTTAGTGAAAGTCACTTTTCAAGTTTAAATTTGCAATATCACAAACTGTTAAAAACAAAGAAAGAATCAAAATTAACGCAATGTAAGTTATAAACCATAGATAAAACGTAAAATATACAAAATCACATTAAACAATCAATTTTTCTAAAACTCATTCGAAGTTTGAACCTTGAGGACATCATCATATGCCGGTTCTAAGAACACCAAACCCACAAATCTCTTCTAATATTCGGTTTGGTTCTGCTTAAACCGAGGAGTTATTTTCGTTACTATTTTAAGTAGTGAAAACTAACAAACCATCATGGCCTTCGGACCTCTATTCTCCGGTGAGCCGGGGCATCCAATGCGGGAACGTTGTATTCGTTCGCCGAATTATTGTTCCGGCATCAACTTCTCCGGCCACTCCATTCCTTTGCGATGTGTCCCTACAAGTAATAAATTAAATTAATAGGTGATAAACAAATTGCCTCTAGCAACGCATGTATCAATTATACAAATTATAATGTGTTAATGTTGATTAGTAACATTACTTGCGATTAATATATTAGTCAATATAACACATCATAGTTGTATTTTTAATATATGCATAGCCAAGTAAAATCGATATATACAAAATTTGAAAACTTAGAGTACCCAAGAGATGGAGGAGGAGAGACAGGACAGGGAAGCGGGTGCGGTAGCTCACATGGCGGCGTTGCCAATGAGGCTAAGCCTTGGTTGAGGTTTTGTGGCTCAAAGTCTTCTCTTTGATCAACCTGCCAAAATAAAATACTTGTTAGTTATAAAAACTATTAGCAATTGAACCATTCAAACATAACTCAAATATACGTAACTATAAGATTTTTAAAGGCTAATGTAAAACCCCAATATATTAGACCAGAAATCACAATATATACATGTAGTATAAGATATTATGAATTTCGGTTCACCTTCTTTGTTAGCTGTTTCTTCAGTTCTCTTAGGTCTTTCTCCTATGCCAACATAAGAAAACTCGAACATTTAGTAGTTTCACTCGTTTGGAAACTCAAGTATAATCTAGTTCTAAAATCTGTATTTTTGTTTGTATATATTTGCAAAAACGAAAATTAGCATTTGTAAGATCATATATATGCTTCGTAAAAACCTAATCGCAATAAGACCGGTAGGTACTGAAGAGTTTCGCATAGAAAAATGAAACCATGTTTTTTTACAAAATCAGTATATATATTACCTTTTTCTGGAGCTGTGCTATGGACTCTATCATGAGCTGGTTCTGTGCTCCCAAACCAAAACAATAGCTACATGGTTAGATGCAGTTTTTATCTATATATCTGTAATCTGTGTATATACATTGCATACGCACACCGAACATTATTATACATGAAAACATGCATATATAATGCTTGTATTGATATATAGATTATAAAGAACCTTTCTAGAGCGAGTTCTCTTGAGGGAAGTATCAAGTTGCATCTCCAGACCTTGAAGCTCTCTGATACTTAGAGCATCCAACTCTTCTCCTTTTAAGTGCCTTTATATTGTAAAATAAAGATGAAGATACAATTTGTTACATTGTATATATACGTATGTATTTATGTATATAGGGATGATCCTTTAGTAATTAATATAGCTAGGTTCTAACCTTGCGCTTCTTTGCATGACATCAATCATCCTCAAGAGCTTTGAACATTCTGTTGAACACTCTCCCTACAAACAACAAGAAGTAGATAAACAATACTTAATTAGATCAATTTACGATAGTTCATATATATGTAAGAGGTATTGATTGATGTTCTTAATTAAGAACCTGTAAATCCAAACTTGGTGTAGGAATATCTTGACCGCCGTATGAACATCTCTCATATCGATCAAGAATTCTCTCCATACTAAACATTATTACATTAAACTTGAATCAACATTCGATGTATATACTATTTACTTTAGTTGGTAAACTCTTTTAAAAATGAAAAAAAATGAATATCAAATAAAAATCACAATTCATATACGCATATAATGTCTGAGAACTTTGATCTACATATTTTTCAAAACATAATTTTTATTTTTGAATTTAGCACGAGTGTTTCGTCTAAACGCCCAACAAATGGGGCGAATCTATTAACAAATATACGGTGTCAGTTGACACTGTTAAAATATTATAAAAACCTTAAATGTAACTAAATTACAAGACAAACTACTAGCAGAAATGGTAAATTATGCCTAATGAACCCACATAATTCAAGTTCGAATCCTACCTTGACCCCAGTTAATTTTTTTCTAGATTCCCAACTAAATAATATCGAAGAGATGAGATCGAGCATGCATCTTGGTAAAGATTTCACGTAAATCCACCTGAATAAAGCACTCAAGTGACCAAGTGATCCATATGCAGAGTTTGCATACGGTGAACTGAAACTAAACCTGAGCTATACCTCGAAGTAATGGTCTTAGCCATAGACCCAATACCACTGTGTCACAACAACAGGTTTTTACACATTATTGTTACAGTATTGCCAAGACTAAATAATTAATAGATCAAATTATAACTTCTTACAATGTTTGTAAGCAGTTTCATTTTTTCGACATAGTACTTACTTGAGCTTAGTAGCTAGAAAACTAACAGCATGGGTGTGTGTATATTTTCATGTGAAGATCGAGGTTAGTCCTAGGTTCGACCAACAAAAAGATAAAACAAGGCACAAAGCTCCATGACAAAGGCTCGTCATGCTTCCAACAACATTTAACTGTATACCTTAAAGGTTTACTAAAACACAGTACCACATAATGAAATCACTTTCATGTTTACTATTATAACAATCATGATTGAAAGTTCACTCCTATTTATAGTAGATTTGGTTTCTCTCTTTAGTAATTTTGTGTACATTGAGATGATTTGAATATATATATAGCTATTTGCACCAAATTTTTACGTGATCTTTTCTTCCTACATACAGTAAATTAGTTGTTAGTCGTAGTTCATTTGCAGTAATGATAGCGTTTATCAAAAGATGAGAACTATTAGAATGTACGTTAACCTGGGACAATGAGATAATTGAAACGGTGTCATCATAATATGTCTCCTACTAGTATATTATGTTTTTCACTCTTCTGTTTCAACAATTACTATTCCAAATTGTGTTATCTTGTCACTGTATTAATTATGTAAGATCGCCAGATTGATATTGGATTAGTTTCTCTAATGAAAAAAAAATATTGTATTGCCATATTTAGTTAAATTATCTTCTCCTGTTTTGGTATTGAATTGCTAGATATATATAATGTTTCAATGATTATCATTTTTACTTTATGTTACCGGAATATGTTTGGTTATAAGTTTGACAACAAAAAAAGAAGTTTGGTTATAAGTAAACCTCTTTTTACAACAGATAAAAGTAAACCCATCACACCTATTGTAATAAATCAAAACAAATTACTCAAATTATGAAATATATAAATGAACTTTAATCTAACACAGAAAACCAAAAAATCTAGCTTAGAACATCAGATCTACTCATGATCCAAACCCAACAGGTGTAAATCTGAAATATATTTGTAGACATCCATTTTTTCTATAAATCACCTTTTTCCATAAGGTTGAAGAACAAAACATTTACAGAAATAATAAGAATGATCTCTGATTATTTCATGGTACTATTCAACATATTTTCCCTTTAACAAAAAAAAATATATTTAACATATTTCCTCGAGAATCAAATTTATTTATACGTAGTCTTATACCGGTTTACAGACACACGATTAGCAAATTATTCCACCATGTTTCTGGCTAATTCAAATAATCAAAGAAACTGTTATATCTCATCACAATTATTGTTTGTATGATCTTTTCTTTTAATTTGGTTTATATAGGATAATATTTCATTTGTTTCATGTTCTTCTCTAACTTAGCGATGTAAGAACTAATCATGTGAACTAAACTCTCACACACATACATGGCTACAAATTCATCTATTCAATCAAAAGATCTCAGCCAATTTCACATAAATCTCTACTAGGTGAAACCTACCACTTTTCCACAATCTGTCAAAACATGAAATATAAACTGATACATATGAAGATATATAAGGATTTGGATTGACGAGATAATCTGTCTCTCACATTAAATTTCGAAGTAAATTAATTAGTTTAGGAAGAAATACGAACCTGGAACCAGCAGAGTACTCAAAGAGCTTGCCTTTGGGGGAGAAGACGATCAAAGCAACGTCAGCATCACATAACACAGAGATCTCTTGAGCTTTCTTCACCAAACCCGTCCTTCGCTTCGAAAATGTCACTTGTCTCCTTATCTTGTTCTCGATCCGCCGTAGCTGAACCCTTCCCCTTCCCATTTTTTCAAAAGTTTCTCAAGAAAACCAAAGAGAAAGCTAAAAGAAGACTTTGGAACCTTTACCAGAGAAAAGAAGAAGAAAAAACCCTAGATTCTCACTATAAAAAGAAGAAAAGTAGAGTGCAAGATGAGAAATTACTCAAAGAATTTGTGTAAGTTTCTATTTGTGTGAACTTAGTTAATATAAATTTATTTTAATATACACACAATAGAGCATATATATATATGTGGAGGAAAAAGAGAAAGTATCAAATGATACAATTAGGGAAAGTGAAAGCACAAAACTAGTATTTATGGCTATATGTCTGAAATAGGCTTGACGATCAATTATTGTTAGTATTAGTTAATGAAGAAATTATTTAACTCAAATTGCTGGTTTAAATTGTACGGAGTTTGGCTGTTTCTAATTCAATATAGAATATGTAATTATCAAGATCAAAGTTCTACTCACAAAATGCTGTGAAGCAATTGAATCTTTTGACCATATGATATAAAATATAAGAACGGATAAGAAGATACAATATTAAAATATTAATAAAGAACTTGACCTATCACAGTGTTAACCACCACATGATAACAAAGTATTTATTTGTACGTTAAAGACAAATTTTGAAAGCCCTTAAATAGAATGAAAGATACGAACGGGGAAAAAGGGTATAGATGAGAAATCAACTAAACAACTTACATAATGTTTAGGGAAAAAAATGTTTAGTGGAATCCAAGAATACTCTCCACCATCCATGTGATTTACTTTTAATTTATTTTTTATATCAAAACTTTCAACTTCATCAAACTATAACATATATATCAAATCGAAATATTGTTTACAATATATTAAAAAAAAAAAAAAAAAAAAAAAAAAAAAAAAAAATCGAAGCATATCAGCTACATTAAGCTCGACCGTCAATGGCTGATATGGGCTTTAGCGGTGTCAAAACCTCAACTTTCGTAGAATAGAAAACCAGCCAATGTCATTTGTTATTCTTGTCTATAACTGATCTCTGTTTCTTAAAATTTGGTATCAAACTCTTAAGTTTTGAGCCAATAGTTTATCAACCCTAATTTTCTAAACAAATTATGGATAGCGCTTAATCTCCAAGAGCATTTCACAAGAGCATTCCGAAGAGGTAAAGATCAGTTAACTCCAACAACAACAACAACAAAATCTTAAGCAGGGATACAAATTTTCATTTCTGAAAAATATGTATTGTGCTTGCCGATCCGCAAAACTGAGCATAAGTTAAACACATGTTATGCCAGTCTGCGAATTACGATAATGCAATATAGGCGTTCTTCTATTCCATATACAAAATTGTAGACAGAATATGTGTATTGCATGCCACAGATATCTACGAGACCCAATTAAAAATTATACGAGGAAAAACGGTATAAATAAATTTGAACATCAAATCTAAGGGAAAACAAAAACACATTATCTAAGATTGACCCTCGTGTAGAAGGCCAGACTATAGACAGACCATGGAAAATGTATATTAAACAAACTAGACAACATAATATAATGTATGCATGGGACACTCAATATACGTACATGTACAACCTCTTCCGTCAATATGTTGTGGTTATATATATATAATAAATGCCTAGGTGTATGGTATATACGTTCCTGAACTTGTGATCTGTTACAAAAGAAAATTATAAGTTCAGTTTTGGTTAATGCGATTTAGTACTAGATCTAGATGGGTAATAAAAACTTGAGCGCGATAGAGCTTTCATGGGTTCACATTCAGATGTGGTCCACTTGCACTAAAATATAATAATATTTAGTCACTTTTTTCCTTCTTTTGAAAATTCATATATTAAGTGAAAATTGTGTACTATTACCAACTTATATATAAAAGATTATGGGGACCATAATGCATAAATTAGGCTTCCAAATTGTACTAAACCCTAATATTCAAATCTCACGCTGAGCTATCAAAGGTTGGGGACCATCCGATTTCGCGGTCCGGGTAGTAGAAATTTTAAAAGATAATATATTTTTGTCAGACAAAGAAAAGTAGAAAACGTTTTTATCATAAAATATGATATAGATATTTTTTTCATTAATTAGTGGGATTATAAGACATGGTTTACTAGGATGATGGATGACATGCTCCTTGGGAACAACTAGTATATATATTTGAAGAATCAAGTAGATGTGGTACCACAAATGTAGGCCAAAGGGGAACTCTTACACGATGTTGCAATTCCGAAGACAAGTTTGTATATTGCATTTGACCCTTTGATGAGATTTTGGGACATAGCTTTTTTTCTTCCCAACGCTTTCTAATCTCTATACATTTAGGGTTTTTGTTGTTATTAAGTAATAGTGAATGAATTAGTTCATGTGCTTTACATATGATTTTAGGTTTCGTCTCACTTCCGATGTAGGATTCTTAACATCTTGAAAGATAAGTACCACGCAAGATATTTTTAATGCGATGGTTCGAAGGCTTGAAGCTATAAAGTTACATACTTGTAATTTGTGATATACTACTACCCAAGAACAAAAATAATTTGTAATTTGTTACATTCTTGTATTTGTTACATACTACCCAAGAACAAAAATATAGTTACATACTTGTAATTTGTGATGCAATCTGAACTGCCGGCTACAATGCTGACCAATAACAACAACTTTTGGGGTTAATCTGATTTTTAATCGTATAATATATTGAAAAAGTATCCTAATTTTAACAAGCCATATACGTAAGAAAATAAATTTAATACTTATTATGGGTGAAATTTAGCTCGTCGGATCAAAAGAGATAAAGCAGTATAACTTTTTTAATTGCACCATTTGTTCTAGAAAACAATAAGAGATGCTAAATAATTAAAGGATGAGAAGATTCTCGAACCCGATTAAAGAAAGATAGTAGTTGAGGATTAGGGAAGATGCTATGCATATAATTGGGCACCATTCTTGCATGCTCCAATTTGCACCAGCAACTTTTTCAACTTTTTTTTCCTTTTGAGCATAATTATGAATCAACCCTTCTTTTGGAAAATAGCATCGGTTATTAATATCCAAGTGGGTAGGATGACCACAAACAAAATAAACTACTGAAACAATTGGCTAGCTTACAATTAAAGCATCAACATCCAGATATCAAATAACGACTAGGGGAATTGTCAAGAAAGAGTGGAAGAGGAGCAAAAAAAAAAAGAGAGAGGGACACAAGTTTTTTTTTTTTTTTGTTCAAAGAGGGACACAAGTTGAGTAGATGGTTTTTTTAATGATTCAAAAATATATTATTCATTCTTTTGTAGAATATGTAGTGAAATTTATAACATAAGAAATTGATTATGGTAGACGACTATGTTGATGTTTTTGACAAATAAAAATAATATTCTAGTATTTCTTTTGAAATTTGATAAAATATACATTTAAAGAAAGATTAACTGGACTATATATGTAAAACAAAAGTTTCTATCTATGAAGTCTACTATTAATGATTAATTTGAAAAATATATGTTGTGCTTAAAGAGCGTGAGGGAGAAAAAAAATACTGATAAAGCAAGTAATATATAACTGTAAAAGAGTACGATCACTAATTTTCATGAAAAAATAGCTCAGCATATAATGTATATTGTTATCCTCAACCGCTTCAATTGGTAGTTGTGACTGTAATAAAACAAACTTTTTTTTATATTGGTGCTTTCTTCGATATAGTGGTTAAACTGTTAATTATGGTTGTAGCTTCTAGTACTTGTGAAGTTGTGATTAACTAAGTCGTCAAAAAAAGATGGAAGAAAATTTAAAACTTGGTATTAGAACATGACTGAACATGCAACTCAGCAACTGATATTACTTAACTAACAATCAACTACTGTCTACTCATCTTAATGCATCATCCTCGCTCCTACTTAACTAACAAGCTTCTTTTACAAGGATCCATCTACCTAATTTGGAAAGTGAAGAACGCGAGATCGTACTCAGTTCTTCTTCGCTTAGCACGCGGAGGCAGTGTGCAAAAACATTCAAGACTCCTTCCGCACCAAGCTAGCTTCGGATCGTCTACCTTCTCATTATCCTTCTGACCTTTATACGTGGTTCCAACTTCCAAATCTACCAGCCAATTCATCATGCTTCTCTTTGAAGACAGCGATTAATGCATCATCAATTACCTGGTACTTAGCGACTAGTCTACATTTCTTGCTCACGAATTTCACAAATTATTTTCTCTAAGTTTATGAAAAAAATATTGTACTGATTTCAAAAACTGTAGTTTAAGATTTCGTATTCAACTTTCTTGCGGCTGGGCTTAGTAATGGGTTTGGATTAGTTTTACTTCTTATTCTGATGGGCCAGTTAGATACTGCTTCGGACAATTTCATCCACTTTTGTCAGTGGGTTGAGAAACCTTATTGCCTAAAACCTTTTTATAGCTTATGTGTCTTGGAGTTCCAGTTTCGTTTTCTATAAACTCCATAATAAAGTTTTTGCTACTTTGCTCTTCCTAAGTGTTTTGAACCAATGACGTTATTTGAAAAAATCTCAGAAATATATAAATTATTACCAAGCTAAAACTTCTCCAATTTAGTATGAAAGTCACATAAAATTCAATCTCATTTACTCCATACATAACATTTTTTTCTATAGAATACTAACTTGCAACTCTTTTTAAGAAAAAAAATATTAAAAACAAAAAAAATTGTCTCAGAAAAAAATAGAGGTCCCATTCAAAAACTTCTTAGACATGTGACTGTATACATCATGGAGTCAATAAACGAAAAGAATCTGCTGAGACGATTTATTCCATATAGCTTTAAGAAAAACAAAGTGGTGGAACTGTTGAGATACATATTCCAAACCATTTTATTAGCCTCACTAGTCCGATCTATTTAGTAAGACATCGCTACTAACGTTAGAAAAATACAAATGGAGATCTTTAATTTTTCTATTAACCATGCGAATAAGATACAATGATCTTGTTTATAATCTCCGTGTGTGCATGCTAATTAAAAAATATAGCCTCCCGTGTAAAAGCCATTATAACTATAATCCCCTGATCCACACGATGGAGCCTCAATTCCCCCACCGTTAAACTTCTCAGCAATATCGGCAGCTGTTCTCTGTTCCGAGCCACCACCGAAACCGTGTGGACCATCGTCGTCTAGACTCCACAAGCTTCCCCACAAGTTACCGTCGTCGATCATGGAGTGGTCGGATGAGGTTGCTGCAACACTTTGAGGCATATGAAATTGGTCACTGAAGAGACTAGTCGGGTAAGAGAAAGAGGAAGCTATCTTTTGTTCGTTGTCAAGATTCATGTGGTCTTGAGACATTAGCTGAGACGGTTGATTCTGCGGTTGCGGTTTCAGATCTAGTGGTTGTTTCCGGCATCGTTTGACTTTGTCTTGCCTCGAAAAAGATTTATCTTTTTTCTTGTAATGGGTTCTCCAGTAGTTCTTGATTTCATTATCTGTTCGCCCTGGTAAATATCTTGCGATTGTAGACCACCTATATATATATAAAAAAATTGGGATATGTGTTAATACCCATGAAATGTTTGAATACGTATAAAAGTGCAAAGACAAATTTAAGATATTAAAGGGGATCAAACCAAAAAATGGTGAACTAAACAGTAGAGACTATGATGAAACAGAAGTAGTATCAATCATGTTTTCAAATGACATGTAAGGAGGTTTGCATTTAGTGTTTGGTTTTCAAAAAACAAAAACAAAAAGGCTTACTTGTTACCCCAAAGGGAATGAAGTTCAAGGATGATTCCTTCTTCTTGAGGAGTGATTTGTCCTCTCTTAAGCCCTGGCCTCAAGTAGTTCACCCACCTTAGTCTACAGCTTTTTCCACTTCTATTCAACCCTAATTTTCAGAAAAAAAAAATACAAAATGAAAAGAGCACCAGGAATGGGTTTGACAAAACTTGAATATGTACAAATTTAATGCAACTTGACGATCACTAATCTTTATCTATATTATAAGAGTACATGGATCGTTCCTATTTTAACATTATCTCGACCAAAATGTTCGAATAGAAAGGCGATATATATGTAAAAATGTTCCCAAACTAAGCAAAGTCAACTCCAGAAACCAAAGAATCATACGATCATCTTTTGATTATCGAAAATAATAAACCCTAAAAGCTTATTCCACCATGACATTGTCCTCTTCCAAACCATATGAAAAGTGTGAGACTTGCTTTCTAAAAAGAAATGAAAGAAACGAGAATGAAATCTAATCAACTGCTTAATTAAGTCAACTATATATACCACATATGATCTCCCACTTGTCTTTATTAATCGATCGTCAATAAAGCATTTGTACTAATTAACTCCTATAGATAATTAACTAACTCAACATAGATATATACAAATTAATTCTTGCCTAAAAGAACTTTCATGAAAGTAAATAATCAATAAGATAGAATATCTATTCGCTGACTAATACGTTTATGATCTAGCAAAGATTAAGATTATATATAGAAGTATATCTGCAACCATGTTCAAATCAAAATAGCTTACCTGCACACTTAGCAACAGAGCTCCATCTTCCTTCACCACTCGAAGTAATGTATTCGGCGAGAAGCTTATCTTCTTCAGGTGTCCACGGTCCCTTTCTACATCCTTGTTGTTGCTGTTGTTGCTGATAAGGATCATGATCATGATCATGGTTTTGTTGATGGCCTTGAACTCCCCAATCAAGCATACCTCTTTAATTCTCAGAAACTCTTTGACACACAAACCAATACTACAACTGATGTGTATATATATATGTGTGAGAGTGTGTGCTTAATTTGCTCTTTTGTGTTTTTGGTTGAACATGTGCGTGTATATATATATTATGTGTATCCATATATGCTTAACAACAGTCATTTCTTACTTTTTGTGGGTGTTCAGTTCTATATATTTTATTTCATTTACTTTAGTTAAAGACTATAGTTAATGATGTAGCATATGCAAATATATGGATTTTCATTAGCCTCATTAATTTAAAACATTTTTACTAGAGTTCCTCGATCACGGAAACAATCTTTGACAAGCCACTATTCTTCGAACAAGTGTTGAAACATAATGAGAACCAGCTCATTATTTTCTTACCCAATTAGGATGTTACAAGTACCCTATTACCAAATCCATACATAGATCCGTACAATATATTTTATTCGTCATCACTAAAGACATCAATGTTTTGTCTTTGGACACTTAAAAAGTTTCTAAGACATCATCACAGAGGCATAACTTTGTTCTGGATTCAGTTCTTGGGGAAAATTAGAATTTAGAAAAAAACTAGTGGGTTGTCTTTATCTTCTCGAAAAGAACTTACGAGCCATTAGAATCTCAACACCTGTGAAATAAAATAATGAAAAAGGGCCATGCTTTAGGAGTAATTCGTAATTCTTGATTAGTTTATTGATAGATTAAAAATATAAATATACTCGAAATAATGGGCCTTAATGAAGTGTATACTAAATCAGGCAATAGAAAATCAGAAAATGCCTTCCATACAGTAAAGTATTGATGACTCACCTTGTATCCATGTGGCCTTTCGGGTATACGTATCAACATTTATGGCAATGTTAGGGTTTTCTTGAATTAGTTAAACCGATTCAACCAAAGATGAGAGACCGATTTTCTTCTTTTAGAAGTCTGTATGTTAAATCTATTTTTGTTCAAGATGTGAACTTTAGAACTAGATTAAGATATATATGATCGTTTTATCTTGGAGATTGCAACTTCCCTTTCTCGTGAAATTTAAAGACGACGTTTCATTACTAGTTAATTTATCAGAAATTAAATTTAAAACTATTGATTTTTAATGTTTCTTGTGGTTTTAGATACTCCCTTTTTAAATTAGAACTAGAAAGCTTTTCATGTTCGAAGTAAAATTTTGAGTGGATGGTATTAGATAAGCATCAAAGACAAAATCTCGAATGACATAAGAACTAGGATCATTTTTGCTATAAAATAACAATATATGTAAAGCTATTCTGACAAAGACTCTACACGTATGAGCAACGTAAGTATTTTTCAACAAGTTATCCCATAAATAAAAACTAAGCACTCCAATTTTTCTATGTGCATGTTTATATTTGATGTTAAGAGTAAACCATTGCAAAATCATATTGAAAAAGCGAGAATGCTGCGACAGGATCATCTCTTGACAAAAAAAATTGTCTATGACCAGATCCACAACTCACAAAACTGTTTCCGAGCTACAACTCTTAAAAACAAATACTTTTAATTTTTCAAAATAAAAATAACTAAAGCGATCGTTTTAAGATATAAAAAGCTTCTAGAAAGATTATCATGGTACATGGTGATGGACCCATTACGTAGCTCCTTAGTTAGATTGCTTACTATTTTAACACTATCGATGTTCAAAGATAGAAAAAAAAACTCTCCAGCTCTACCGTTGGCAACGTGGTTATATTTTTCTTTTGGGCATTTAAAAAATTATGGTCCTTTGGTCGACAGTTTCTTTGGATTACAAATCAGATGATCATTTTGTACAAAAAAAATGATACAATTATTATACTTATAGGTTACTCATACGGACCAATATGGTTATCCCAAAATAGTACTTCGTTTTGCAACGGAATGAATATAGTTTATTTGGAGATTTGTGATATAGTTATTAGGCTTAAATTGTTGGTGTAATCAAGAAAAAAACATACGTCATTGTATTATGAATGTTAGTAGTATAAATTATTAAGCCTCAAATCATTGTTGTGACATTATAAGATTGGAGCTGGTCGACACCTCATACATTGAATTAAGAAGATGTTTCGATCATTTTCCAAACATGAAGGACCACAACATAATTAAATACCGTAGTTGTATAGACTATAGAGTAAAGAAATGAAAAATATACCTTTTACTAAAATAAATTAGAAGAATCGAGACCCATTGAAAGAAGTTTGAAAACTTGTTGCTAACGTGTAACAATCAAGCTACCTTGCTGTTTCTAAAATAAATATATATTGAATATTTGGTCCAATGTCTCAATTATTAAAGTTTATGTAGAATTAAAAATTTGTAAACAAAAAGAGAATGTATTACATGTATTATATACCACACATGTATTTGCTCATATTTAGTGTGAATAAGGCAAAGGCTCACGGGTATGTTTATTATCAATTTGTTAATGTTTGCGTGAGTATAAATCGCTGTATGATGATGTGTCTTCGATTACTTAGATTAGGATTGACAACATATAAAATGAGGTTTGAAATCGGACTCCTTACCTCTTCCGGTTCCCAAATTTGGTCCATTTGATGTTCCTCCCTTGGATTGAGACCCGTTTCACTCATGTTTGTCCTCATAGTCATGTGTAGAACCTATTAAACCATGTTTGGAAAAGTATGGGTCCATCTAGTTCATCTTATACACTACAAGTGAGTTTCCACAATGTGGAGTCACAGAGGTACATTTCAGACTCCTTACCTCTTTCGGTTCCCAAATTAGGTCCATTTGATGTTCCTCCCTTGGATTGAGACCGTTTCACTCATGTTTGTCCTCATAGTCATGTGTAGAACCTATTAATCCATGTTTGGATAAGGATGGGTCCATCTAGTTATCTTATACACTACAAGTGAGTTTCCACAATGTGGAGTCACAGAGGTACATTTCGGACTCCTTACCTCTTCCAGTTCCCAAATTTGGTCCATTTGATGTTCCTCCCTTGGATTGAGACCGTTTCAGTCATGTTTGTCCTCATAGTCATGTGTAGAACCTATTAATCAAATTTTGGATAAGTATGGGTCCATCTAGTTCATCTAATA